TAGTGGCTGAGCGCGCGGCCCGACGCGTCGACAGAGAGCCAGACAATGACATAATCCCCCCCGCAACACCTGACGAACTAAGACTGACAATACGCAGACTTAAAAACAGAAAAGCCCCCGGACCCGACAATATACATAACACGACACTTAAACGACTACCACACAAGGGCCTCATGGCCCTACTAAACATAACAAACGCGACACTCAGACTAAGACACTTCCCTACCCGCTGGAAAACAGCAAACATAATCCTTATCCCAAAACCCAACAAAGATCACACCATCCCATCCAACTACCGGCCCATTAGCCTGCTCCCGGCTATGAGCAAAGTGGTAGAAAAAATTATCCTAACCCGTCTAAGAACCCACTCCCAAGAACTGCAAGTCATTCCAGACGAGCAGTTCGCCTTCCGACCCAATCACTCCACTGAACTCCAAATCCTTCGCCTTACCGAGCACATCACGGCGGCCTTCAACAGGGGACAGTACACTGGTGCTGTCTTCCTGGACGTCGCAAAGGCCTTCGATACGGTTTGGCATGAAGGCCTACTGATGAAAATGCTCACCAACCAATATCCCATATCCTTTACCAAACTCATAAAATCCTACCTACACCACCGAAAATTCCTCATCCAAATCCAAGATTCCCTTTCCACCACCCGTCCCATGGAGGCCGGTGTCCCCCAGGGCACCGTCCTGTCCCCATACCCATACACCATTTACAACTCCGACATCCCACATCCCCCCAACACCAACATATACTTATACGCCGACGACCTGACAATCACATCTCAATCCGTAGATCCTAGATATTCCGCCTCCCTCCTCCAAAATTCCTTAGACCAACTTGAAACCTGGTGCAACAGGTGGAAAGTCAATATTAATCCCAACGAAAGTTCGGCCATCCTTTTTACCAAACGAAAAATCCCACAAAACCTCCACAGACTGACACTATCCCAGGAACCCATCTCCTGGAATCGACAAACACGATACCTGGGCGTGACGATGGACCACTAGCCGTGGAAACGTGGAAACCGCACATCGTGGAGACGGTGGCGCGAGCGAAGACCACCAGGGCTAGGCTCTTTCCCGTACTCAAAGGTGGGAACACCCTCAGTTTAAGGAATAAGCGAATGCTTATCAAGGTGGTACTTCAACCGCAGCTAACCTACGCCTCACGTAGACAACGACACACGAAGACAACGAAAACAACAAAGAAAACGACAGACACACACACGCACGCACGCGCGCACGCACGCACGCACCCACACACACAAACCCACCCACCCCCTCCCACCCTTAGCACCCCTCCCTCCCCTCCCCTCCCGCGCTAGCCTAAGGGCCACCTTAGCAAAGCGCATCCCAGGCTACATAGCCGCACTACCTTACCCGAGCATACCACACACAAACATGACACCACCCCCGGGGTTTACACAGATGAGCCGGCGAAGCAAGAACAGCGCCAGAAGAAAGGGCCCTAGCCGGCGGGGCCCAGCCAGGACAAAAGGAGGTCCAACAAACGACGACGACGGATGGGGCCCACCTACGAAGGGTGTCCAGGCCTACACGAGATCAGGCAGGATAAAGAGGGATAATCCCCCTCGATCCCAAATCATTGAGGCCAATTTCTAGCCATGGAATAATGGCGGCGGCGAGTATGAAGGACGCTATCTTAAAATTTTTAAATTGTCAACATCTAAATGCCTTTAGCGATTTCAATAAACGATGGCTCATTTTAAAGATTAATACAATTTATTTTTATGATATAGGTATAAAAATATTATTTTCCTGCGCAACGGTAGACGACGCTAATGAGAAAAGTTTTGTAATTGTCTCCGTTTACTAAAAAAAAATAAATGCAACGATATAAGTTTTTTTCATGGCTTGATAGACCATTCATTATGGAAAACAAATACACAAATCTGAGATCGATATTTTTTTTCGTTTTCAAGTTATCGCTAAAATAGTGAAGTTGTGCTAGAAACATCCTCCTTTATATAGTTCTCTAAATAACATTGACATAATCCAAGCCAAAATTAAATTGTAAAACTGTACCAATGTGACAGCTCTTGCTACGTGCAAAATTAGTGTTATTTGTGTTGGAAAAGTTTGATTTAAAATCAATAATTGTTAAATAAATTGTTTAATATAGTCGGCCATATTGAATCAGCCATTTTGAATTTTCATTTTCCGACATCATATTCTTGTGTAGCGACTTCAAAAACCCATATATTACAAATATAAGCGAGTTTGATTTAAAATCGATAATTGTTAAATAAATTGTTTAAAATAGGCGGCTATATTGGATCAGCCATTTTGAATTTTCATTTTCCGACTTCATATTCTTATTCAGCGACATCGAAAACCCCTATAATATCAATTTGAAAGAATTAGATTTAAAATTCATTAAATTATTTTAAATGTTCTTAAAAAAATTATTTATTATTGTTTAAACAATTAAAAAACAATTAGCGTACAAAAATAAGTTTATAACTTTTTTCTAATACTTATCCAAGTAATTTTAAAAAGGTTTTAGGAAAATCCATACTTCCCATAATTGTTTCGAAATAATGCATAATTTTAAGCTATCTTGACCACTAAAACATAGTTCTCCACCTGGCAACCAGTTGCGCCAGTATCGTCTTGGTTCTATGATTTGAATGCAGTTTGTCTCCATTTTACTAGAATTCTGTGTCTTCTATTATCTATGGTTCTGTGATTATAGCTGTTAATGTTAAAAATGTTTGAAATTCATTAAAAAAATTGAATGTATGTAATTGTGTGCCCAACTGCTTAAGTCAGAATAGGAGTATAAATCTCGTAGGTAGCCTCTGGGGTGGAAAGACTCTTTTGTAATTGCTATGGCTTCTAAAGGTAAAGATAATATTTAAATTTTAGAATTAGTTTTGTAACAATTTATTTGAATGTTTATTATTTATATTTAACTTAAGTAATTGTATTTAAGAAGAAGCGAAAAGTGATGAGCTATTAGAAGATTGTGTTTCTAAAATATTCTGCTAAACTGAATGAGAAAAAATATAATTTAACCAAAAAGTTTCCTTTGGGCTCGGTGTTAAAAACGGGTAATAAAAAGTATGTGATAGTAAAGATGCATTAGGTACCAAAAACATGATTTTTTAAGCTCCACACAGCTTTAGTGCAAACAAAATTTTAGTTTTTAGGCCAAGTCTTGAATGAGAACTGATTTTCTTTTCACATTACCACAGTGTTTATGACAACAAAAAGATGTCCATAAACATCTGCACAAGGTATTTATTGCCTGAGATTTGCTGATGATTTGGCAATTATTGTTAAGGGAAAATTTTCATCACTGAATACACATGGGCAGCTCTTAACGTGATAGGTGACTTATAGAGGACGGTACAACTTTGGGTTAATCCTTACAGAATCACCATAGTTGCTTTAACTAAGAAAAGAGTTTTGCCAGGATTGGAGAATCCACAGTTTAATGGAGTAGAGATTTCGTTTGCCAAAAAAGAAAAGTATCTTGGAGTAGTTTTTGACCAAAAACTAATGTGGAACTCTTGCAATGAAAAAATTTCATATTGGGATTTCAGTCTTAAATTGGCCTTAAGGTAATAAGGTCAATATTAACTTTGGATGGTGGCATGGTGGGCGAAGTGGTGGTGCAAGTAGGGGTGGAAAGACTTTTAAGTGGTATTCAAAGAGCAGTGTACTCAAGCGTTACGGGAGGTCTTGCAAGTTCAGCAAGACCTCCTATTGTTAGTACAACCACTAAATGCTTTCATTCAAGAAGTAGGTCTGTATTTTATAGACTACAAGAGGACATTCATCGATTGAAGACATCATGGGGGCAAAAGCCGTATAAAGAGTTATGTTTAGGACATATTGTTCTGGTGTGTTGTGATGACACATGTTGACATGTGTAGAAATATCTAATATACCATTTCACATAAAATCGTACAATAGAGATCTGAGCACCCCTAGTGAATTTTCATTTTGATGCCAACTATGTTTCTTATATCTGATGTCGTCAACATTTAAGACATCAGCCCTGTATTTATTTATTATTTAAGGTACCTATTCAATAATAAACAAAAAATTCACTAACAACAAGTTTGAGTAATGTATAAGTAACAAATTATAAGTGTTTGTCTTTGGCTTAATTACAAATAATACTCTGCATCCCTGTGACAGCAGCATAAGACTGCTTATGTTAAAATACTACAGCAGTACAAAAATCTGTACAGAGTATCATATTAAAACAAATTTTTACACACATTTACATGTGAGCCGTTATACACTAGCATTAAACAATATAATCGATTTTACTCTACATAAATCGATCTATTTGTAACAATAATTTGTTAGGAATTCATATTACTTCATTATAATAGATTTCTTTACAAATGTTGAATCCTTATTAGGTTTATGTTTACCTATAAATTCAAATTATGACAAGATTTATTTTTAGCGATACATCATTGTTCAAATATACATTTGACAAACTAATTTTAAGAACATGTAGAGAATTTGCTGCTTTACACATTGTCCATAAATAACAACCAAATTAAAAATAATCCTCATATAATTTAAACAATCCCTAGGTACATGTATTTAAATTTTTGGCAAAAACTATTACAGACAACATTAATTTGACAACTAAATTAACAAATGTCAAGTTATTTTATTGTTTTTGGATTGTTTCTGATCATGGCCAATTTGATGACTTGGTCCGATACGAGAAAAACTGTCTAAAAAATAGAAAATTGCAAAAATCTCTAAAAGTAGTAATGCTTATATGGCTTGAAAGTAAATTTCAGTCTGCATACGACAGAGTAAAAAAATACAGGGTGTTCTATTTAAGTTAACAAAGTTATCGCTGTTTGAAGTTATCAAAATGTAACAACAAAAATGAAACACCTAGTATTAAATGTTTTAATTTAATGGTATACCATAATTATATACATATACAGGTACCAAAAATGCACTTGATATCACGCTCCTGAAAAGAGTTTCTATCATTTCCGCGGACTTGTATCTGTCAAATTTTTTCTTTAAAAATTAATATCTCAAAATCTTTAACTCCTAGGTATAGGGAATAATTAATAAAGTGACCCTCAAATTTCACTTAGAATCCTAAAATGCAGTAATATATAGAGTGTAAAATTTAAAATAAGAAAGTTAATGTTGGCTTCCGGTATAACCGGAGGTGCCATAAAGTTTCAAGTATTTCAGCTGTGTTAGCCCTATTGCCTTTGCTAGGTTGCCAAATTTTCAGGTTTATCGGATCAGTACTTTCCGCGATATCGATAGTGGCGATTCCTGGTGGGACACCCTGTAGAACTAGCATTCGCATCCAATGTAACCTCCGCAATTTTTTAAAAAGACCTCTCAATCCATTGCTCTAATTTCCATTTAGAACAATAGGACATCCTTTAGCAGGTGGATAGAAAATGAAAAACTACAAATGTACTAGAAAGTAGGTAGGTAGGTCATGAAGGCAACAAAATAAAAAAATATTGTAAACTACAGTTTTATTATAACACAGTTTAGGGAGGAAAGGGAAATATTTTAAGGACGTGTTCTGGAAGTGAAAATAAGTAAATAAGTTCATGACATTATGGGTCCGAAAATGTTTCCTTTCTTAGATGTCGAAAGAAATTTAAAACCCGTTTTTTTCTAAATATCTCGAAAACGATTTAAGATATTACACTGCCACTGGACTATACACCAAAGCACAATGTAATATTTTAAATTGCTTTCGAAATATTTAGAAAAACAGGATTTTTTTTTAATTTTACATCTATCAGACAGGAAACATTTCCGGGCCCATAATGTTATGAATTTATTTACTTATTTTGACATCATTTTATAAACAATGAAAAAACAAAACAGTCTAATAATATGTCCAACCGCCATCCGAATCAATAACGGCCTGTAATCTCTTTGGCATTACATAAGCCCATAAATGTTTTTTTTTTATATAAGAAGTAATTTCCATTTTGTTTCATTCCAAATTATTGATTAAAACCCGAGTTATCACGGAAATATTATTTTTGGGGGTGAACACGAGGGGTAGTTTGCATCCGTTTAAATCCGTTTTAGGCTAAAAGAAAAAATATTAGTCCTTATTAATATGTATTTACCTTTTTGAGATTAACAATGGATAGAGATACAAGAAAAAGTCAAGAGACCATTTTTATGTAGAATTGTATGCTTTACAACTTTTGTAATAAACTTCAACTGATTTTATTGCGGGCACCTATACAGTGTTCATTAATGGCGTACAGAAAAACCAGAAGCCAATTCTGTGGCTAAAATTAAGTAAATTTTGTTACACACACGTAAGCTCTTAAGACCGCCGTTTCCGAGCTGCAGGGTTTTCAAAATAAAAGTAAAAAATAAAATTTTTAATTTTCTTAAATCCATTTAATCTAACTATTCGTAAGTAGGTAGTAGACGTTTCGCAAGATTTATTAAGTAAGATGAATCGATTTTTCTGTTGTAATGTAAATACAACTCTTTTAATAGAAACAAGATAATAAAAAATGCATACGGGGTCTGCTATAATAGTTTGCCGATTAGTCCCATTTTAAAATGCCAATCTACCAAGAAAGCATTTTTGTACAAAACTCGTAAAATGTCAGATGTGACGGTAAAATATTGCCACACGAGTTTAATGTGAACGCCCCATATAGACAAGCGGTTAAGCTGTCATATTTCAAACAAAATACGATTCAGATTGGAAACCTTTATCTTGTGTCGAGTGTACATTGTTACCGTGAAATAATGTCTGTCATAAATATATCTCTAAATTTACTTCGTGAATGTATTTAAATGTCAGTATTGTCAGTATGTATACATGAATGTAAATGATGTGTTGTTGTGATGATGTGTCATCAAGACATGAAACAGTAATGAGTTCTAAACTTAAATAGCACATCTGATTTGTATGAATGTTAACTGACTACTTGGCTTCAAAGTACACTTTTATAAAAACTTCAAGATAGTAAATACGATAAATGAAGGATTGGGAGGAGGGATGCCCTGTTAATGCCAACCTGCTCTGTGTACAGATGGCTCAAAGACATACAAAGGAGTCAGAATATAAGGAGCTAAGGTATGGGTTCAAGTCCCATTTAATTTTGGGATGCATGCCATAGTCTTCCAGATAGTAGTGATGCCTATTTAATAGGCATCACTACTATCTGGCCCTATTAAATATTGTGCAATGGAATGGATAAGGAGGAATATTAAAACCAACTAATTGCTATTTACTCTGACAGATGGCACTACGCAATACAATCAGCTCATACCAGGTTAATTCCAAGCTGATATGAAACTGTTTGGATGCTTTAGACTAGGAAATCTGAATGACCCTAGCAGGCTCATACACAACCCTACAGGGGCTCGAACGCTTGCAGCATTGCTTGTATCTTGTATTTTACTAATGTAGGTAGTTATGTTAGTAAAATACCTACTCATGCAGTGATGAGTAAAAGATAAAGTCCAGAAATGATGGCAAGAAACTCCTAGACAGAGTCAAGCAAAGAAATCCTTAAAAGGACCACCAAAGAAGTTATACAGCAGACCTACTAAATAAAAATCTCAGATCAATAAGGATAATGATAGGATATTGATAGGATAGATTGATGATAGGAAACATGGCGGTAACATTGGCTTGGAAGAAGGCTGTCGCTGAATAGTTCGACTTTTTCAAACCTTGTATAGACTATCCCATTCTTACCGTGAATTGTAGGCTTGGCTTCCGGGTGGACCTCAGTGCCTGTTACATCGTTCATAGACTGCGGTCCTCCGTGTTTAGTGACTCTAGGTGTGGCTGGCACGAGGACTGGTAGTGCTCGTCTAAGGTGACTTTGACCCTCCGA